AAAAAAAATAGCAGAATATTTCAATTTGCAGTAAGTTAGTTACAGTAAAGTATAGAAAAGTAGCATTGATCATTCATTCTGCTAAACTAAAAATTTACCTTAATTTGGTGAAGGGTAAAATCTTTACAGTCAGGTGCATATTCGTCAACATAGGGAAACCTTTTTAATGTTTTTGGTGGAACAATATAATATGACGGTTCAACCATACGATAATTCAGTGTGTCACATAGGGCATCGACATCCACAAATTTTGGTGTACATGCTGCCCGAATTGTGTTATTTGAGCATCCAACACATTCCACACACTCTAAACTACTTGACAATTTTTTTCAATAATTTTTCATTGTAACTGTAATTTTTTCCTAGAAAGTATGATAGATTCTTGAGGCTTACAGTTTTCTAATTGTTAACAAAAAAACTCTCTTAATATTTACTTCATTATTAAGCGATACTGCGTTTTTATTTTGCGACAGTCGTCTGACTTAATAATAAATGGGTAAACAGGTAGATAAAACAGAAGCAACCTCCTGACAAATATGCGTGAAGTTCTTGTGGCGCATAATAACAACATTCACCAGGCTGCAGAATAATATGGTTTAAAATCAGTGGACAGAAGCATCCAACATCACCAGGAAAATCTTGAGCCATCTTTTTAATAACTGCCGCAGTTTCCTCAGTCAAGCATCCTCTTTCTAAAATCGATAAAAACTTTATCGCTCTTATTTAGCATATATGTAACATTATCTTGGAACCGTTACCTCTTCCTTTCACTTAAATTGCTAAAGAAAGTTTCCTCAGGTTATCTTAATTGTTTTGTACAACGTCGAAAGATATAGATAGTAAAAAGAAAAGCAAAGTGCAACAACTGTAATCACGCAGTGATACTATAACTCTGTAAAATTAGCAATCAAACTTGCCTCCTTTATCCAGTCTTCTCAACAAGCTATCGAGCGAGTTGGCTACTCGTGCAGAATTGTCCTTCATACCGTGTATCAGATTCCTAAAGCATTCGGCTAACGCAGCTTTCGCTGCGCTTCGTTCAGCCTCAACGCCAGCCTTAACAAGTACCTCGAATGCATGGGTTGACTCAATTCCCATCAACTCCTTTAATTCAGGAAATGCTGGAAAAAAAGACACTTTCTGTATTGAAATCGAACAAGAAATTAATACAGATCATACTAACGACAAATAATTTAATTTCAGAACGTATAATAAAAAATGAACAACGAGAATATAGTCTTTTCATAATTGGTTTTATGCTCGACAATAAAGAATCTGGTGTGATGGACTTGATTTTGAAACCCTTGTCATGCCTGCCAAATCCTCAACAGTTCAGACGTAAATTCTGTCGAGTTTCATTCGTTTGCTTCTCCTTTTATCAGTCAAAATTTAGAAAATCTGAATTCTGAACTTTGCTACGCAGTTACCTGTAATATTTGTACAGATTTCTGTCGATGGTCGGAAACCACAAAGCAGTTCAAAACGTGTTAATGCATAGGCAAGTTCTGGTTTATGATTCCGGTCTGGGTAATGAATTGGATCACGATCATTTAGTTTCGCAGCTTGTTCCTTTAAAGTATAAACAGCAAATAAGCAAAAAAAAAAAATAAAAGAAAAAAAATTTAATCAACTTTTTTCATATTAATTAAACGTTCGTTAGCAAAAATTAGTTTTTTTACTTAAGCGTTACCTTTGTTGGATGTACTTGAATAGATAAAGTTTTATCGATGCTCATCAGTTTCATTATAAATGGTAGATGTGTTTCCTTGTTTGTCCGTTCGTAAACGCTAGTCTCAGTGTCAGCAATGTGTTTAGACAGTTCAACATTCGTATTTTTCACCTTTGCAGGCCCATCTGGATGTGTACCCATCCACAGCTGAAAAAAACTGATGCAAAAACAGTATATAATTTCCAGAAAAAATCTGATTGCAAATCTCTTGTTGCTTTTATGTACCTCAGCATATGACGTGTTGTCATCAATCTGGACGTCATGACCAGCCACATATACTCGTGCCACTTCACTGTTCAATCCCTTTTTACCCCAAGCGTAGTTCTGAACATGACACTGCAAGCGTTCCATGCTTGGCACTGCAAGTCAAAAAAGCCCTACTTAGTAACAACAGTTTTGGTTTTAAGCAGACCATTTCTGCTAGCGAGACACTAGCTATTAAAATGCAGACAGAAAATTGTAGCAGCTTT